GAACTGCCCACCTTGTGGTTCCCAGCCCAACTCGTAGCTAGCTCACTGTGTCGACTGAGTCCATTCCAGCTCATAGAGCGCCCCGGCAGTTCCTGCCCTTGGGAGTTTCCGAAGCTGTGGTCTTTACAGGAGCGGGGAGCCTCCTCTTTCTCTCGAGGAGCTGCTAGGGGGCTCAAGCTACGGTCCGCTTCGTAACCCACCCTGCCCCCAGGGCTCCTTAGACACCACGGACAGATCCTTCATCTTTCCTTTGGTAACTGTTGGCACTAAGGAGTCTCCTTCTAATAAAACCACCTTCACCAGGCAATCCCCTACAGAGGAAGTGTCCCAAAGGACTTGGGGAGGGTGGGTGTGTCCTGTCTTAACTGGAACCCACGTGCTTGGGTGCGCAAAGCTGGCTTCTGTCTGCTCTCGCTGTGGGCGGCCGTCTTTGGGATGAGGCCCTTGGGGAGTAACGGGAGCTAGCGCAGGGAAGGTCCGTCCGTCCATGACCAGCTGCAGAGTTCTGGTCCATCATTCAGAAGGCAGGGCAGACTTCAGCTTTTAGTCAAGAACTTGGGGACACCGGCGGCCTGGCCTGCTGATCCTTGCGGCTCCCCTCTGGGCAGCATCTCCCACTCCTCTCCACTGAACCCGTCTGGCTCTTGATGTGGAGCAGCCTCACGAGTCCATTCCCACTCCTAGTGACCGCCAAAGGTCAAGCAGAACTGCCTGTAAGGGTTTCTGGGACTCCATCTTCATGAGCGTGGACTGCCTCAAGACTGGTGGGCTTGAACAGCTGACCTTGAGGCTAGCAGGCTTTGTGCGTCACCCACGAGGCCACCAGGATCCTTCATGAGGAGGGAGGGGAAACATGAGGACCTAATGCCAGGGGTTTAAGTGGAGAGAAAATGTTTTGAGAATGATGAGGGCAATGCATGTACAAATGCGCTTTACACAATTGATGTGTGTATGGGTTGTGATAAGAGTTGTTTGAGCCCCTAATAAAATGATTAAAAAAGAAAAACTTCCCTACCCCCTTCTCCCAGCCTTCCTGGCCTTGCAGGACTGCCTTGTCTCCCAATCCCCTCAGTTCCCTGTGTGCGGGCTTCTACTGCTTTTCTGAGGTTTCCTTTAAAACCTACCCAGCACCCACGAATTGTGGGCCCCGTGAGAGCTATGCATCGTGGTGGGGCTGCTCATTTGGCCTGGGGTAACCTTCTGCCTGAACTCCTGATCTCTGCTCTTACTGCAGCTGCCCTAGGGGTAGGGGAGGGTGGGAGGACGGCCCTTGCCCCTTTGGTTTTAACCCTTAGCTGGCACTGGCCTCACAACAGGCAGCTCTTCCCAGAACTCCCGGTTGGTCAGCGCTCAGCAGGCCCCAGTGCCCCTTAGGGCAGAGAGAGCGCCCCAAGGCTAGCAAGGAATTGGCTCCTCCATGGAGTTAGCTCTGCCGTGGGGGTGCTGTGTCAACACAGGCGGGTCCCCTAGGTGCCACAGGGCCCACCCCATCTTGGGCCAGATGGCTCCCACACAGATTGTGGGGAGCTGGTCGCAGCAGTTGGCTTTTGGCCTTCGAGTTATTTCTGGGACAATCTATGATTTCACCTAAACCACTGTGTCCCCCCCCACCCCCTCAGACTGACGGAGGCTGGGAGGAGAGTCGGGCCACTCCCGCCCTCTGCAGCATGGCCACCTCCTTGGCTGACTGTCCCATTGTGGTGGTGGTGGTGGTGGTAGTGGGGGTGGGGGTGGCGCTGACCAAGTCAATTCAGACCCAGCAGTCCCACAGCACCAAGCCCAACTGCCCGAGGCCTTTCCGGGCTTGTCACTGTGCTGAGAGCAGATCCGAAAGGTCTTTCCTCTCTGGGAACTGCTGGTGGGTTTGAGACTCGTGGCCATCTGGTTGGCAGCCGAGCACTTTACCTATGGTACCACCAGGATGCCTTATAGTGACCTTACCAGCACGTGGTCTGTCGAAGCAGAGCCAGGTTAGGTGCCTGTGCCGGACCCCATCACACAGTGCCTGCCGCTTTCCTGGGCCACCAATTGGGATGGGTCTCATCCCAGGGCTGCAGCTGGATGGCCTCAAGACCAGCTGCTGGGACCTCATGGGTGGTACCACAGTCACCGGGATAAGCCAGAAAGGGGACTGTCTATCACCAGTCAGAAGCCCAGACTCTGCCTGCCCTGTGTGTCACAGGCCCCCCCTCCCCACGTGCCTGTAGGACCACGCAACTCCAGGCACTTAAGGGACATGTTAGTGCAGGGTGCGGCCTCTACCTCCCTACAAAGCTCCTCACCCGGGATGGTGGCTGCCCATGGGCCTCTGCCCAGGTGGCAGGTTGGGCCCTGTGAAGAGGTCACCCCGTTTCCATGCCCCATTCTGGGGCTACTTTCTCCCTTTGGCGGCAACAGCCGAGCCTGCTCACACAGGTGGCTGTTGCACCCAGTGCTGGACCCCTAGGTGAGGGGACGGCCAAACACAGCCAGAGACTCTGCACCTATGCTCCTGAGTGGGGAAGGGGCGCCTTGGCCCCCAGGGGGCTTGGACAACAGGTGAAAACCGCTCTTGCGTTCATTCCAAGGAGAGAGGAGGGTGATTTCACGTGACTCAGGTCTTGGTGGAACTTTGGTGAACTGAAGGGATTGGCTAGTGAGTCTGCCTACTTGGTTCCAAGCTGATGATGGGCCCCCCTTGGAGATGGACACTGACCCTCTCTGAG